GCCGGCAGAAGTCCATCTCCTGATCGGAGGGTTCTCAAGCCATCCGAGATAGAAGGGCTTATCATCAAAAGAAATTCGAAAGAGGTACTCAAAGTCATATTTTCATGACCTTACCTCTCGAGGCAGCAGTGTGGACTTGGTGTTGGAGTTAATTACATTCATACATGAAAAAACAACCTGCCAAAGGTGGTTTGTTCTCTCTTTGGAGCATGCTCTCTATCATGTTTCTTCTCCCAATAATACACCGACACCAACCTAACCACATACTATACATGGGTCACTGGACTTGCAATAGATATATTCTAGCCCGACTCAGGGAAGCAGGCATCACACAACACTGGTAGCAAGGACAGAATCGTCGGTCAGGTCTACCCAGTCAATTTGCACGTATCTAGGTCATTCGATCCGAGAAGGACCTCAAGCAAACAAAGCTTCCCCATCACCACTGGGGGACGCCCACGAGCCTGGGATCGGTGGCCCCGAATAGGTTGAACAGATCTCCACGACCTGGAAGATGATGAACGATATGCTCTTCGACAAATTCTACTCTCCCACCCTTCAAACTTCAGCCAGAAGTAAAATTCTCAGCCTTTCAAGCTTGCAGAGATTGCGGTTCCTCTGCAGTGCATACAGAACACAATGCTCGGCCTATCATCGAGCTGCTTTAATCCTGTTGAACGAAAATGGCCGGTATATCTGATTCTATGGAAAGGACTTCGGTCGATCAGGCTCAAAAGACTGCTTTCCATTATGTGCAAGGGAAGCAGCCTAATTCACCGTGAGCTAAGACTTTCAAGCGGTCTCGCCGGCCACATATCCTCACACAAGGGCAAGGAATGGGACTGCCCAGTCAAGGGATGCACAGAGGTGTACAAGACTGAAGCTGGGCGGTGTGGCCATTTGAACAAAAAGACATAAGTCGTGGATGAAAAGATTGCTCCATTTGAATTACGGCAAATTTGGTACCCCGAGTATGCTCTGCACGGCCATATGCTCGAAGCATCAGCAAAGAAGGACCGTGCCAGACGAGACGTCGACCTCTTTCTCGATCGACAGAACAAGCGCGTGTTTGCTGGGTACTGTCAGACAAGAGCCTGGCTGTCGAATTGAGAAATCTTGTGGTTCAGATGCTCTTGAAACTGCCGCTGGATTCATTTCTGAGAAGGAAGACGGAGAACTATAGAGATATCTTCAGAGACATAGGGCTGAACGTATCATCGGCGTTGAATGAACACCATATGAAGCTATTGGTAATACCAAATACGAAGTCTCTTGTGGCTTCAGCGAGTTGCCCTGGTCAGAAAGCGGATGGGCCAGAGATCGATTGGAGAAATTCGAGGAGCCATATTGGTTCAGCTCTATAATAAATATCACCGGGATGGGCATCTGTGCACTCCCATCATGGATCAACCCGGCAACCTTGACTTACTATTCAGATAGCTGTCGAGTCTGAACCAGCACCTGGCCTCACCACGTCTGTCGTTACCCTAACAGAGAGTGTTACGGGGAGTTCTCTATTCTGGCCGGAGTGGTCAACCACCTGGAGAGCGAATTGTGCCGCTTACTTCAGTTTGAACCTGTTCAGAATAGTATCCAAGGCTCCAGAAGTAATGGGCCTATCATGGTTAAGGTGGATGTTTGCAAGGTCTGATTTCGTTTGTTTTGAGGGCTGGTTTTGATTTATACCGACTCAGAACTACAACCCTTTCCCACAAAGTCAAATTCCCAACACTACCGTCATTTCCGTTGAACTCCACGCGGCTCACCTCGAAGTTGTTGCGTTAAATATATGCCAAGTTTCATCTGCTGGCGGTAGACAATTCGCTCACAGAGGTACTCTACTCCTCACCACCAAAAAGGGCCACAGCCATGTGTCAGAACGAGGTGTATCTTTTAGGGGATTTCGTCACTCCAGATGCCAATCTGTTAGACATTGCCAGAAGTTCGCAGCCTTGCCTGCTTAAGACAACGTTTCGAGTGGGCTCTTCAGTTCATCGAAACAGGCACCTTATTGTCCGAGGGATTATATATTTTGTAGCAGAGGTTACATGAAATAACAAATGTATGCCTGATGATATTAAGCTGCAAAGAAAAATGGCTACAGCCCTTGAAGGATACCCTCGGGGAGGCTCTATACGAGCAAGTCTTGGAGGCTAGGGCTGCTTGATCGATGCCAACTGTCATACCCAATAGCAACACGTTATCTGCGCCCACAAACCAATTTGTTGCTTCGCAATAGTACAGAATGTGAATCGGTAGCCCTACCTCGATATATATAGAGAACAAGATACTTACCAACCTCCGTTGGTTGCAGCCAGACAGGTCGCCGAAGAAGTCGGCACTATGGCTACACCCGCCAACCAACTGATACCGAGGACACTCAGACCCACGCCGACAAGGATCTAGGTGGCCCTTTACAGACCTGCCATGGCCCAGTGGCCTCGCTGTCTCGTCAAACAAGAGAAGTTGTATCCGAGAAAGGCCTTAACCACGCACAGGAGCTACACAAGCTCAAGCCTAATGATGACCGCACCCAGATTCTATTGCGCCTATTGGCGTGGGATCATAACAAGCGGATCACCGCTTCCGAGCTTGCACCGTAGCTAAGGTGGTTAGGATAGCTCTCTTGCCCCTCGCGATGCTGGCAATACCAGTAGTACCACCTTGGGCCAACGCAATGACGATAAGACTACAGACGGCCAAGTCTTTGGTGTGATGCTATAAAAGGTTTGATACATCATAATATGTAGTATCTTTGACGCGGAAACATCTAGTTTACCGCAGGTCACCAAATGCACTTATTTCTAGAGAACATTCACTGAGCACATGATGTTTGGGAAGTCCTCAATGACGATAATCCCAACGGTGATCTTGTCATGGTTCTCAAAGAACCTAACTCTGCGAACTTGATTTCAGATGTATCAATCCTATAACAAGCAAATATTCTTGCTTGACGTGGCTACCAAGTGGACAAGGAGGTCATATATGATTCCAGCTATTTCTGGCTCACCCCGGTCAATCGCTGCCCCACGTCGCTGCAATGCTTGATCTCACAACTTACAACATCCTCCCTCACATCACCACACGATGAGCACAAAAGACTCACTAAACTCCAAAATGCCTTTAATAGAAGCTCGATCACTCGTTGCATCGTTCTCTCGCGCCCTCACATCGTTCCAGTCATCGCAAGACTCATTCCGCATCCTCTGTACTCTACCCCACACTTCCGATGTCCCCGCGCCGCGCCGACCATCCCGCCCACTACAGAATCTTGTGATTCTTGACTCAAGCTTCAATCCGCCGACGTTAGCGCACGCAAGCATGGCGAGGTCTGCGTTGAGATTAGAAGGGGAGAAGAGGTTGATGCTGCTGCTGTCGGTGAATAATGCTGATAAGGCGCCGAAGCCGGCGAGTTTTCCTATCAGATTGAGTATGATGGAGGCGATGGGGCGGGAGCTGCTTGATGAGGGTGTAGAGATCGATGTTGCTGTTACGACGATGCCTTTCTTTCATGATAAGGCGAAAGCCATATCTGAATCGGGGTTTTATGCTACACAAGATGGAGGTCAACCAACGCAGACATTCCTCGCAGGCTTTGACACCATAGTTCGCATCTTTAATCCAAAGTACTACAACGAGGGTATCCAAAATTCGCTCGGGCCGTTCTTTAAGAAGTGTAAGGTGAGAGTTACGACGAGGCCGGATGAGACGTGGGGAGGAGTCGATGAGCAGAGAGCGTGGTTGACGAAGGAGAGGGTGAGGGATGTCGGAGGTGATGAAGCTTGGGTTGATAGAGTGGAGATGGTCGAGGGAAGGGAAGGCGATGGTGATGTGAGTAGTTCACGGGTGAGAGAAGTTGTCAAGAATGGTGAGGGGGGCCTGGAAGGGTTGGTTGGAGAGGAGGTGAGATGTTGGATTGAGAGGGAGGCTTTGTACAAAGGTCGCGATGAGAGTCTGTAGCGCTATTATGTTAACTTGGAGTTTTGAGATAGGCTGCTGGCTTTCGGCGATCTCACAAGTCAAATGCAAAATTTTACAGATGCACCGAGATGCTCATGAACACTATTGGAAATGTATGCAAATATGGTCGGTCCGTGACCTGAGCGGTTCCTCGAGAACAGGAACTGCAGGGTAGAGGACAAAACAGAAGTGATTTCACAGCAACGCTTTGCTTGGCGACACAACACCAGTTTATAAGATACTATTCCTAGTACGGATAGATGTATTTGTTTCTGCGGCTATTCCAAGCTTCAGTGGTACTCAGTTCAGAACTGGCAGGACAAGTAGTAACAGAAGAGAGGTGTTCGTCTGCACACAAGCATTGAACAACATCATGCACTCGGCGCGCAGCATCAGCTTTATGAATGCGCCCATACACAAGCCGGGCCTTCACATTTTACCATGCATGCATATCTTGAGGCAGATTCTATACATAATACACAATGTAGATCTAGACACAATATCAACTCCAAAATCCGTTCGCCCAACTCTCGTAGACATCACAGAGTCAAACACAGCCTCCCACCTCAGCGCAATGATTCATGCAGTCGCATTCTGCTTCCGCATTCGATCTCAATTTCGGCGCAAACCTCCAAAATGATCCACTTCAAAAAATCCAAGCTCTCGCATCGCGCAGAAAAAAATCACTGCAGCGTCCACTTTCTCTTGCTGTGATTCGCTGTACAGCTCAAAGTCGTCTGCAGTGGATCACCAACGCACAGCCCATCAACCAATCAGAACCTCCACATTGCTCAAAACCCTGAGGCTCAAAAAAATCAATTCTGCCAGCAACTTTTAGGCGGTGAAGAGCGAGTGATCCCGCGCCCCACAGGCACCCTATAAAAGCGCGCCTTCGCTCCGACCTTTTGGACTTTTTTCTTCTTTTCTTCTTCATGTCGACAATACTTCAGAGAATCATTTCTATAGTATTCGACCTTCTCTTGGTTCCCTAAAAGAGCCACAGATCCCACCCTGGTTGATGAGTGCATATCCTCGACACCCTAGAGTGAATACCTTTGGTCCTCTCGATCTGTCCGCAAGGACGGCGGTCTTGCCTGCTCCGGTGGGTGGCTGTACAGAGATGGTTGTATTTGATGATCTCGACCCTGATTGCGGTCTTGCCTTCGGGCGCGCGGTCGGGGTGGGTGTTGATGGACGTCTGACAGGCGTGTTTTCTCCCTTCTCTTTTTCGTTGCTTGCTGGGGCTTGCCCTGGAGGTGAGGAAGAAGCTCTGCTGTGATGTTAACGTGTGTTGCTGTGGTGACTGAAGAACTTGACGCGATGGTAAGGAAAATTCTGTTGGGACAGCGCCGTCAGGTCGTTGATATGCACAAGTCTTGCTCGAGTGCATGTGTATTCCCGAATGTTATGCTGATTAAATATTCTCTAAAGAGTCCTCCTGCCTGAAATACGCCTTTGACCTCCAAGACAAACGAACCCACGCGCTCCGCCGTTCCCATGTGCCTCCGACCGTCGCGCTCTATGTACCCATCCGACCGCCCAGTGTTCTCGTCACTCATTGCATTCGTTGATACCTCGTGGCCTCATGGCTTCCGCCCGTAAACGTACCGCACCATCATGTATCCATGAACCTTCCGACTACAGATCGCTTTTCGCATCGCCGCGAGGAACTGCGGGTATTCCTCCCTCGGCCAGTTAAGCACGTTGTGCCAAATATACAGCGTGTATCCTACCACGAGTCAGCGAGCGAGCGAGGAGATGCGATGGCGAATACATACCCTCAAGATCGTTTTCCAAAGTCAACCTGACGTACTCGCCCAGCTCAAAAAGCTTCCGATTACTGGTCCATCCTCCCACGGGTAGCTGCAGCCCAAACATCGTTAGCAGGGTATCACCTCAAACAAATCCGCCGTCGCACCTTGTAATCAAATATCCTGACATCCGTGAAGCCAGCCTCTGTGATACTCCTCTCCTGCAGCGCCTCCTGCTGAAGAAAAAACGTCCTCCCCGTTGCCGCGCCGCCTTTCTCGTACAGATCCGCCCACTTCTGGAGTGCAGGCTCGCTGTCTGTCGTTCCGTCATCGGAGTAGAAATGTATGTCAGCCTCGCATGATTGGACCCAGCCACCGGGTGCACAGCAGCGATATGCTTCTTGGAAGAGGGCAGGCCAGTCTTGGACTGATCCAAAGAGGTAGCGGATGTGGGTGAAGTCGAAGTAGTTGTCTTTCCAAGGCCAGGTGAGAGTTGCGTCTGCGATCTCAAAGTGCACGTTTGCAGGGACCCATTCAGGCTGGGTGGGTGAGAGATCTGAGCCGATTACTTGAGCGCTTGGATATGCATCTGCAAAGTCTCTGAAGACGGTCAGTCAATTGAAGTGAGGCATGGGGAGGGGAACTTGCATTGCCCATATTCCGGAACCAGTTCCGACATCGAGAACTCTCTGAACATGGGGCGATATGGGCGCCAAGAAGAGATTGTTATCTAGCAGTATGGTGAGGTAGTGATGAGTGATGTCAACCGATTGAAGTTGCTGCTCATCATTCGGCATAACATATTCATGAGCATAGCGATCGCTGTGATATGTTCTCCCCTGGATAGTTCTGTACTCGAGAATGCTCGCCGTCACCGAGTCCGGGTACATAAAACTTGCACTGAGCGGGAATATGTGAGTTGAGCGGAACAAGACATACGAGAAGTGGAACAAACTCACGCATCGGATCCAAGAGCTGAATCAATTTCATAACGATCAATATCGGAAGTATCCTACAAACACGGCAAAAAAAGACACAAGATGTTAATTTCTCAATGACTATTACTCTACAGGTTTTATGTAAGAGAGGGAGGGTACAACGCACCTCAGGGTCCTCTGCGGGGATGAGCTCAGCCTGAGGAGCGGGGGAGGATGGAGCAGCGGGGGCTGCAGCGGCTGAAGGAGGAGGAGGAGAGTCAGTAGCAGTAGCAGTGGGGGTGTCTGGAGGCAGTTGGTCTGTCATGATATATCGCGATCCATAGGATTACTTGATACAGTCAGTTACGTTTATGTGAGTGATATGGGGGGGCGTGAGTGGGTGTGTTGTTGGTTGAAGGGGCCCGGATGTTTTTGTAAAGAGTGGAGATGTTTCTCGACAGGGTTAATGTTATATCAGATATCGATAGATGATGAAGGAGAAAAGAAGAAAAGAAGAATGAGAAGAGGGAAGAAGAAGGAGTCTAGAGCCTAGAGCTAAAAAACCAAAAGGTCGGTATAGCAAAAAGCAACCTTGATTACCTTACCTAGAACAAGGCGAGGGAACCGAAAGAAAAGATCAGAGGCAAACAAAACCCAACCGACCCCTCCTTCGTCTGCCTTGGATGGAACCCAAGATGATCCTAGACTAGACTAACTAGAGCCTTGGGCTGTGAACCAGAAAGTTACTTGTACTGTACTTTTGGTTCTGTTTGCTAAATGGTGCTGTACAGTAGATCCCGTCGCTCCCGTAAGCGGTGTCTCAGTATGGTTCAGTGGGGGGCTGCTTTTAGTCTAGTGCCCTCTTGTCTCAACCTTGATCGTTACATCACTTGAGCTTCTAATCATCACTCGTGATAGCTTCAATGGAAACTTTTTTATCCAATCAATTCAAGAGCGTCTAACGCTCGTTCAATTCTAGCAAAAACCCCGGATCCTACTTATTCCCCAGTATCGCGAATGCTAACCCCCCGCACCCAACTACCTAGATCTAGTATTTCTCCCCCAGATAACCTACTTCCATCACGCTTTGGTGAGCTGGCTCCACCATTCGAAGGGAATTCTCTCTTCCTCCAGTTCCCCTTCCATGAATGCACACCAAGTTTCGAAGTCCTCCTGCAAATTGTTTGGGACCCCGTCGGCAGTAAAAGTTGCCGACATTTGCTGACACCACTCCAACACATCAACCTCGTACCAAGGCTGGCACTGATCACGGTCGAAATACCCGAGTATAAACTCGATCTCATAACCGTGTTGCTTCTGCCAGAAATAACGTCTGTTCTCGTGGAATACCGCTCGACTGACGTTCCAGATTGTCAGATCACGACGTCTGCATGCATCGAACCACACAAACCACATGTACCATGGGTTCCATTCGGTATCAATAACGAATTCATGGACGCGACCAGGTCCACTGCGACGAATTGTGCTGGTTATGTCGTACATCAACTCATACTCGCCGGCGCAATAGGGTCGAACTGCATTGCTAAGCGTTACCCACGAGCGCATGAACTGCATGGGCACTATACGCCCATCGGCAGTGATTTGCGCAGTGATTGCGTCCAGAGCTGCAAGAATACTCTTGAGCAGGGCCTGCTCCAGAATGTCAATCATCTCGTACTCGATCATGATGTCGAGCTTCTGGCGGAAAATGTCGGCGACTTCTCCAGGATACGATGCCCTCCAACGGGTCACCGATGGGCTGTGCAAGTCAGCATGAAGCGTTCCAATAAGAGTACCAATGGAACTGACACCCACCCATTCATCATCTACACGAGGCCTCTTTCCCTTGCAAGTCTTCTTGAGCCCTTCTGGACACTCGTTGTAGAAGGTAAGTAGGCTGACGTCTCGACTGGCATATTCCTGCAGCATCAACTCCAACAGACGAGGCGGAATGTGCGACTTGAGCGCCAGGTCCAGCGGATGCTCGGTGAAATACGTCTCTGTGATTGCACCTTCAACAAAGGGAAATGGCTCCGTGTCCGCCCAGTTACACACCGGATGGTAGAAAGGGGACTTGTCGGTGGCCAACACGCCGTCGAGGGCGTTGGGCCGAGTTGGGTTCGGAAAGCCATAGCTACTCAGCAGCTCAATCATGTTAAGATACATGTCAATCCCAGGTCTACCAATGTCAAGTTGGAGTTGCTTCAAGAGTCTCGTGGGCATGTGTCCAAGACCCATATCCAACCGCTGATAGCGAAAACCGTTGAGGGATTCACTCACCAAGTTCGCTTCCCCATCAGCGCCCTTCTCAAGGAGCCACTGAAGAGCCACATAGACACTCGCACGAATTACCTGCTGCATCTGTTCGCTTCGCGGACTATTATGGTGCTCGTCCAAGTTGAGGAGTAGAGCGTCGATGGGTCGATATTCCCTCCACGAAGGTCTAACAGTCCAGCTCATTTCGACTGGGGCTGCGCGGTGTTCGTCACAGAGACGCATAATCGGCAGGTAGGCCGACTCAACAGCGCGTCGAAACGACCTAAAGCTTGAGGCGCGGAGGACAAATGGACGGACGATCCGACTCATTTGAGTGCAGGCCAGCATGAGCTTACACAACACATCGACTTTTACGTCGATGTCATCGCTTAGAGCTTGGGCGGTGAGTACCTGTAGCTCTTCTGGCAGGCCGAGAAGAGTTTTGTGGGGGATAAGCTCGGAGCCAGAGCCAGAGGTGGAGGCAGGTGAGTTGTCCTGAGAAGACATTGTGGTGGCAACGAAATGCTACAGAGACAATGTTTCTGAAAAGGAAGAGGCTGTTTGGTTTCTCAAACGGATGAGGAGAATGTGTGAGTGAGGTTTAATCTCTAGTTGATACTGCAGATAAGTGCCAGTTTATACTAGCAGAGACGAACAATTCTTTACGGGAACATGATGAGAAACCAGGACAGCTAAATGCTGCTGTTCGATATATTAACTATACAATAATGTTAAATTGAGGAAGAAATATTCTGTTCTTTTAACCGTGAATGTGATGAGTGCGGGAGATCTCGTCCTGTCACCACTGAGTCTTAGGGTGGCATGTGTCGTTGGAAACAGGGAGGGGAGCAATATAGCACCCGGGATGTCTCTCTCAGAATGGAGATCAGAGCCTTGCTATACAATACCCGGCGCTTGGGGGCGTGCTAAATCTGGATCGTAAATGCAGTCTGGCCACTGTCTGCCAAGCGGAATAAATCACCAAACAACCCCCTTTAACACAAGAGCTTCTTGTTTCTGAGGGACTAAGTAAATTGTGGAAAGTGATTGATACAGCGAACAGCGATCGGCTGTCAGAGCTCTTTATTATGTTCTCAGAAAGAATTGTTCGTCTTTTTGATAGACAACAAAGAATGGGCATTTCGTTGAGATAGGGATACATAGTTGTTCCAGATAATACTAGACATGTGAGAATATTTATGCTGTATGCCCTCAATCCGATTAAGATCTTGATCCTAAATAATAAAAAGACTTGGGTAATTTAGTATAAATTTAGGATGAACCTATGATACCTAAGTTTAGGATAAGTTTAGGATGCCTTTAGGATATGTTCAAAATATCTTTACTTTGATCTGACATTTCTTTTGCTCCCCGAGACCTGACTAGCAAATAAATGCATGAACAAGTAATCTCCTTGGCATCAGTTCTAGCCATCTACTCAATGGCGGCCTCGTCATCGTCGTCGGCCTTCATGGCAGCCGCACCACCATGGACGTGGATGGTAGGATTGTGGTGCTGAGGTGATGATCGGTGTCTTCGCTACGGTCTTCTTCTTCCTCGCTCATCGGGATTTCGTCGTCCTCGTCCAGAATTTCCTCCGATTGAGTCCGGATGTACTTTGTGCAAAGAAAACACGCTGCATATGGGCCGTTAGTGGAAAGTCACCGATAAATAAGAATATGTTTTTACCTTCCAGTATTTTTCAACTTTGGTCTCCTATTGGTACGTTAGAGATTTACCCGACTAAGAACTACAATAGCATAGCATACCTGTTTGACCAGGAACCGTTCATGTCGGTGGGCTTGGTCTTTCTCCAAGGCCCGGATGACATGCTTCTCCCACTTCTTCCACGAGACACCAGGGGGGTTCGAAGATTTCCTTTGCCGTCCCCTTCGCAGCCCATTTGTCTAGAAACTCCTGCGAAATGGGCTCCTCGTTGTTCTCCGGACAGCTATCCGTGATTCGAGTAGCGCTTGAGGTCTAAATGTCCTGTGAGAGACTGTGATCAGCTAAGATTGTGCCGTATGGCCATTCCTTGCACTGATCAGCGCTTCGAATGTTGGGGAATTACTTACGAACCTTACGATTCCTCTGTGAACTCAATGATAGGTCTTGTTTGATGTGATCAGTAAAAGGAACACATAAAGCGGTTGTGCAAGAGTGCTGCTTGGGGGAAAATAAAATAGAACGGAGGGAGAGGTGAGATTTTTGGAGATGTGAATGTGTAGGGGACAGATAATTATTTTACAACCATTGCCCTAAACTTATAATGATGCACTGAAATATTGGGGAATTCAGCTAAAAATGCGAATTTCATTGAATGCCAGTGAATCATTGCCCGCCAGATCGCTTTCAGAAAGGACTTGATTCCCTCTCCATCTCCACCTCCACCTCGCCTCCTTTCCTCCTCCATCACCATCTTACTTCACCTACTGCGAACCCCCTCTCTCTGATAGAAAATCCATATGCAATACCTATCGTTATGTCGCATCGCATTGAGAACAGAAGTGAGGTGTCTTGCCTTTGGCTTCTGGTAAGTCTTCGCATTCGTAATGAATGGTTTCTCAGTTTTCTAACCATATAATCTCTAGATCGCTCCATTACCACACTACTTCGACTTCCGTCTTACTATTTTCGGTCATTTCCGCAATCTTCATCTGCTACAGTTTCGATTCAGCGTCAAATCCAACACTGCGCTGGTCTCCTATGCATTTCGACTCCTTCATCGATGGATACCCAGCTTCCAACAACTGCACCTTCCATGTATTTGTTGACATCAGTCCCTTCGCCTTACCCCTGAAACGCCTGAGTCACCATCCTCCGCGTCAGTAATCGAGAGAAACGGCGAGCACGTTTCGCTGCAGCCCAAAGAAGTCTGACATCCGAAGAACTCGAGAAACAGAAGGAGTAGAACATCAAGTTCGCCCAGAAACCCCTTGCGCATACCACTCTATACATGCTGAGACTCTCGAAGAAGTGGTTCATTGAGTTTATTGAAGACGAGCACCCTGGGATTGATGCCCAGGCTGCATTCTCTGCCCCTGACAGCAACGAGCCGGATCATGTTCTTCTTAAAGAATACTCTCGGTATCTAGCACGCTCTCGTGTTGGAAAAATAGGAGATACATTAAAGGTCAACACTGTCATTGGCCATATCAGCTGCCTGCTGTGGTCAATGGAACGGAATCTAACCGTTCCTATAACAGTGATATTCGGAAGCAGATGGGCTTCTTCATATCAAACAACTTGGCTGTTCAGGAAGGCCTCACGACGGAAGCTAAATTTAGGCTTCTTACTAGCTCGAAAGACGTCTCTTTCATTGTGTCCAAGTTGTATGAACCCGAGTATCTCGGCACATTTGGCTCAATGCGCGCAGTTCTCAACCTCACACTCTATATGATGCTGGTCATAGATACGTGCGGCCGCGGTGGGGAGTTTGCAAGAAAGCATGTGAGACTGGAGCATATGTGTCTTCGATAGGAGGACGCTCAATTCTACTGTTTTCAGAGCGTCGAGGACGATGTGTTCGCCGGCTGCATCAATCTCAAGGTCTTTTGGGCATAATTTAGTATAAATTTAGATAATCTAGTATAAATTTAGGATAGGCTTAGGATAAGTTTAGGATACCTTTACTTAAAACCGATGTTTTCTTGCTCCCCGAGGCCAGGTAAGCAAAGAACATCACTCTTGATGACTCTCAGTTCAATATGAGTACCTATTTCAATAGCTTCTGAAGATACTCTCCGTCTTCTCGTCAACACTTTTCGGCGAGGGCTTCAGCAGTTGGAATGATCTATCCCAGATAACGCTACCGTCTCACATCGCCAAGACTGGTCGTCGGATCCAGCTCAAGGAGGAGCTGATGGATGTGCCGGTGCTCAGACGGATGATCCATCACAACCTGACAAAGGACCCGTCCAGATAGTTGACATCTCGCCACAAATCTCCAGACTTGGACAATGGTGTGGTATTGAAACGAAATGTGTTGGGTACTGCCTGCACCGTGGAGCTGCATACGTTCTAGCAATGAACGCCAGTGATGACATGCGCAGATTCCTCATGGGCCATAAGCCAGGCAACAACACTTATGCCAGGCACTACCAAGCCAAGGTGTCGAAGGTTGACTTCCCACCCATGTTATGTTACGTGGTCTTGATCAGGTCTCTCTCTACCTTCTCGCAGGGAAGCGCTCTACTCAACCGAAGTGACAATGCCCCTTTAGCACTATCATCAAACGGCCTTGCTCGTGTTATGGCGCTTCCCGACGTCGTCAAGGAAGATAAAAAGCTTGCCTCTAGCCGTGAGAAGATACTTCAAGAACATCCCAGCATCAACGAAGCTCGACGACATGCTGGCCTTTTGGCCGGCCAGTACGACGATACGACAGCTACCAGGCGATCATGTATTGACTAATGGAGTAGACGATACTATGAAGATGGGTACAAAGAACATTTCAAACCACTGGCACTTCGGATGACGCTCAAATTTCTCTGCCCATCAATATACTCACGTCTGCCTTCTACTACCGATCAGACTTCAAATCCTAAGGAGTCAGAGTGCCGACAAGACCATCGCACGAACCTAAGATGGGATTGACAGTCAGGCCTTCAGTGACTTGATGAACCTCGGAACAGACATCATCGGATTCCCATGGCCACTCTTCATATCGTGGTGGGCAGTCATTACAGGACAGCCTTAAAACGTCCTCACATCGTTTGTGTCTACTATTGGGTACACCGACGTCTCTGCTGGTCGGACGCTGGTGCCCCGGATCTGTCCATTCTGTACTCATAATGAGACCACCCCCCCAATACCGACGAGTCTTCACATATTGTACCTTCTGGCATTTGTAGCATCATTTCCAGGTTCATACCAAAGTTCAAGAGGGTGTTGAGCTCTGCCCATGTTACGGCAAAAAATATGACTATGCGAGAGAATTCACAGCATCCAGATGGAGAGTCATTTGAAGGTGAAGCGACGAAAATTAGGCAAAGGATCTGCGGATCACTAGTCTGGGGTAATAAAAAGGGACACGAGGCGTGTAACATAGGCGTTTGCTGATTGATGTGTCACTTGACACTACGTGTATGGGGATAAAGGAAATTGGTTATTATTCTGATGGGGACCATCCAGCAGGATACTAGCAGACATTCGGAGTTGATCGCATGTGCATAATTAGGTTTATTGAAGATATGGAGCATAGATCGACCTTCTTACACGTCTAGTACTATCTAGAACAGTTACGTATGGGTCTAGGTAAGAAGCAAAGAATTTGTTTTATTTTTACTATGATCCAATATAGATTAACGCCTCAGTCTACAAATCCAAATCTAAACAAAAAAGAGAAGAAAAAAAAACACCTACCTACTAATATAAACTTACCTAAATATGTAAGAACATCCTCGACGATAGTTGTATACACTACTCGTCTGCCTCGCTTTCAGTTCCATCTTCATCGGAAGTATCATCGGCGCAAGTCCCATCGTCAACACGATGTATAAAATTCCAGGCATCCAAGGGCATGCTGACCCAATCTTGTTCAGTGCTATCCTCGAGCCAGGAAGGATCGAGCTTATCGTAAATCTTTCGAAAAGCATACGATCTAGCATCGATCAGATCTTTAGGGGGGTACCATAATTTGGGGCGTACAAACTCATGAACGCACCTCTCGAGATCAGGGCGAATCACTCGCGGCGGGTCCTCCAAAGAATATTGATTCCAGTACGGCCCGTGGTCTTGTGAAGAGGCCTGACGGATGGAGACACAAAGCTCGCGCCAACACCAGGTGCCGTCTCGTTCAAAATCGAGACCGCCATTTTCTCTCTGCCTTGCTTCAATACTGCGAAGAGCTTCAAGAATGTTTTCGAGTGCTGGCTGTTCATGGCCACCGATCCCGTCATGCTCGACCAGCAACTTTATCTTAGCCTCAAAGGTATCGGCAAAGTAACTGGGACTATCTCCTTTGTATATCCACGGAGCAAACAGGTCATCGAAAAGGATTCGGACCAGCTCGCTGAGTTTTGTCGATTCGCAAATGTTGAGGTCATCTCTGTAGCCAGGAGCAAGACGAGACTTGAGAGTCAGTCCGAGGTCAGAGGCCAATTTCTTGAGAGAAACCTCGGACAGACCTGGCGGGAAAGCCGACTGCAGTATCAAGTGCATATCGCTGCCGGATTCCTCAGCAAATTTCGCGTATCCTGGATGTTTACGGATCTTTTCGTAAGACGCCCTCTGTAGTATTGTCGACGCACCTGGAAACCCCAATCCCTGGTTAAGAAGGAATCCAACTACCTGGCAGATGTCCCGATGGTTATCTGCATCTGTCGCCGTGGAGAACATAGCCAGCAAAAAAGGAGAGACAACGCGAGAATATGTCATCTCTCCCTGGCGGCATAGTACTTGTTGCGTCTGATACCCATTATCAAAGAGCCACTCAGCTACTTTGATGTATTGATCAACCGAGCAATCCCCATCCACAAACGAAAATGAAAGGACATCAAGCGGTGTCCTGTAGACTGAGTGGCGCCTTTCCCAAAGCTGACTGGTGGGAACGTTTCTATGCTTGAGACACTCAATTATGAGATCAAGATTGGCGGAAGAGCAAGCGTCGAGAAAAATATCTCGCTTCCCGTCGTAAACGTGCTTGAAAGTCAAGTGTAAGAGTCGAGAGGATACGTGGTGAATGTTGAAATGATCTCTCCAACTTAAATCATCATCTCCAATAATCAAGAAGAGAAGTTCATTGGGTAGGTCAAGCAGACCAACCCCACGGGACTCGTTCTTGCTTTCAGGAAGAGACATTCTGCCGTCGTTGTAGTTAGTTGATAGAATTTGGTCGTTGTGTTGACTGTAATGCCTGTTGAAGTGCCCTGAATACTGTCATCTCATGTCCCAAGGCCTTGTTTTATACTGAGGTCTTTTTACTGAACATCTAGTTTCCGTATAGCCTTTAATTCTGAACATTTCAGGCGGTTGCTAAATGGCAAAGAGCATAAAAGACTATCATACATTGCCCTCACACGGATTCTTTGTGTCTCTTAGAGCTTGGCTTGGGGTAAGGGGAGTGAGAACAATGGTAAATGGTTTATTTCGTGACCTTTCTCGACTACCGAGGACGCACTATTGGGCCTTTCTTTGTTGAATGATACCGACAGAGAGAAAGACTCGAAACCAAAGCGGTGTTAGTCTTGTTCTCATCTTCCTGCAGTCATCTGTTCAGACTAAGAAACAAAGAGAGTGGGCATCTCTCGGAAGCTTCACCTGTTACCTATTCAAGAACCTTACTTCACTAACAGTAAACGACAAGAAACTCAGCTCTGGTTTAGTTTCATATTGCAAAAATATACCTAAGGGACAACAATCGACCAGGACGTGTTCTATTTGATGTGAGCGCGACGAGTTACGCTAGGGGAGGAAAGAAAGCCCAGTATCTCGATCCTAAATGATAAAAAGACTTAGGCAATTTAGCATAAGTTGAGGATATTCTTAATAACTTTATGCTACCTTTGCTAAGTTTCTTTTGACACCTTATGCCAAGGTCCTTCATCATCCTTGCACCAGAAATGGAAGACTCGACTCTAGCCATTAGGGAACTCTAATACTGGAGGACCTGGCTCCAGAAGCTCTTATCCAACCCGATCTAAACGGGGGATCTGAGGTCTCGTAGCGTGCCTGAAGGGCTGTGAAGAGCTAAATAGTTCCAGCATGGCTTTCGAAACCGGATGGGGAGGGGAAGCGTGAACCCAAGCTCCAAGACCTTTTGGACGGCGTTCATCCACTCTTCGAAATGTTCGCGCGCACCTTGCGGAAATCCATGAGGAGAAAAATCTATCCTTCATTCCTCCAGCTCCGATGCGTTGGGGAGTTGATCTTTGCGGAATACATCTAATTCGATGGAAAGTCTTCTCATCGCAGCTTCGCCAGAGCCAGGCTGAGGGAGCGCAGATGCCGCGGTTGCTGCGAATCGTTCAAGTGAAGCAGGTGATTTGAATTTCAATGTGCATTGCGATGAGATGGCTTCCAACAACGACGAGTCGAGTTCTTAGGTGCTTGGATCGTGCACTTCTTTGAGCTTCGTTTGGAGGCTGTCCAACTCCAGCAAAGTGCTTACCCCTGAACTCGATTCCATTTTCTTTAGTTTTGCAGAAGAGTTATATACGGCTTTTATGTTCAGAAACTGAGTTTGATTGAGGATAGAAGACAAAGAGATGAGAGAGGAGGGATGAGAAGAGCGAAGGTTTATATGCCCAAGAGCAGGAGAAATCATCGATCGAGGTTGACTGTGAATCATCGTCGCGTTTACCTAGTATGAATTTGACTGTGAATCATCGTCATATAAGCGATAAACATAGAGCTACGGAGTACTTGACGACGAGTTATGCAGAAGTTCAAGTAAGTAGAGTGTCAGCTCGACATAAAACTATGATATGGACATTAGTTATCTTTAAAAGATGCGAGCTACAAGCACTAGGGGCCAAAGTATCACCTTGAAATACAAATGCAATTTTGATAGACGCAATAATGTGAGGCATAATGTTGAATTACAAGTTCCTTAATCTCCTGATATACTCACTCTCCACAACCAGACTGCTACCCAATTTGCTATCTTCACCATCGCTGAACCGACACGCCCCTCGCTTCCAATCAGTCAGCTTCAGCTGCTATATGCTCAAGCCAACCCTTAGAGTGCATTTTAAACTCTAGGGTAAGAAAGTCCCAGTCGCACAGGGGCATGTCCCACCACTCACCTATACTTCTGTCCTCAAATCTCGAAGGGTCAATTGGCCCTCTGTCTTCAGCAAAGCTCATTCTCATCCAGCACAGGCATTCTGCCGGGTACCAACTATAGTTTTGGATTCTGAATAGGTGAATAGGGGCGTCTTCACGGCGGTGGACACGGTTAAGGATTGTTCGATCGGTAGCGAGATACGAAACTGACATGTTGAGTTCGTACCAGAACCAGAGCCCGTCTTGGTCAAAATCGAGGCTGCCTCGTTCGATTCTTTTGCGTGCCATCTTCTGAAGACTTCTCCAAATATCTTTCAAGACCCGCGCTTCACCATCATGGACAGAGTTGTACTCGATTAGCGCCTTGACCTTGTCTCCGAAGTTGTCTGCTATTCCGTTGGGATCCTCTAGTCTGAGAAGCGTCCTAGCCTGGTCCCCGGATCTGTCCGCTTTATCTTCTGGCCTCCAGGGGGGATTGAATCGAAATGGTAACTATACAGTTCCCACATGAACGTGTGGATCTCCGTGCCATCACATTGATAGATCTGACTGTTGAAGGGACTCTTCAGGGTCAAGCCTTGGCCATCGAGCTGCTTCAAGAACAGTCTCAAGATGGAAGCCGGGCAATAAGTGGCCAGCATGAAGCTTATCAAATGTGTATGCCTATATCCCATCGTCATGTTGTCCGCCTTCTTTACGGGATTCGAAAAGTCTAGAAAGATTCGAAACATCAAACCCATGTCGACGACGAAGTGGATGACATCGCAAGTTGCTTGAAGATGTCCAGCATCAGCGGCGTACCATATCATGTACAGTAAATCCGCAGAGAAAGGACGGTATTGTCCAGAAGCAGCACCCGTGTTTTCATTCGAGTAAGTAAGCTCGAAGCCATGGTCAGACAGCCACTGCCATGTATGCTTGAATTGTTCGACAGAGATGTTTCCAGCCCGAAATCCATCGACTACATAGTCGCCTGCTGAGCGATGAGGACTTTCCCAATCATCACCAGTTGGAGTGGCGTTTTTGTTCAGACACTCGATCAATATATCCACGTCGGCGTGCATGCATGCGTTGCGGAAGAAGAAAAAGTCCCTGTCCTTGAGCACTCGCTTACCCAGATGGTGAAAGAAGAAAAAGCACACATGGCGAAGTCTTCTAAGATCCTGCCACTCAAGAGCATCATCTTCCGTCATGAGGAGAAGAACTTCGGGAGGTAGTCGAAATAGACTGCTTTGGTTCGTGTTGCGTGTCATCGACATGTTGTTGCTTGACGGTCGATGTATGCAAAGTTGATGACAATTTCTCAAAGATTTTGCGCCAAGGAAATCTCATCAAGTTGTTGTTGTTGCTACTTGAAAGGTTCAAGTGTTTGGACTAGCAGTCCATAATTCTCAATATATTCACAGTCCGTCACACAGCAGTTCCACTGGCAGTGGGAAGCAGACTTAGGCAGAAGCATCACTGAGCTATGAACAATGCCACTGTCCTCACAATATGGCGTCTGTTCCACTGGTATTCATAGAATAAATACAGTAGATTACTAAGAACTTAGAACACCAAACAGTCCCTCGCCAGCGCGACTCAGGGGCTTTCCGAAACAAGCATTTTATTTTGAACTTCGATCGACGCTGTTCTACCGAAGCTATGGACATACCATTACTGGTTACTGCTAATTACTGTTGTTGTGAAAAGGTTCCGGGCAGGGGCTGCGTTCAGCTCTACTCTGGATGACCAGCTCCAACATTGTGGATGCTTTTCAGCCAACCTTTACAGACTCAGACCAACTGTCCTTTATCACGGATTCTCCAATAACCATCGAAATACAGCCCCAGTACTTCAATTGGTATTAATATACGTGGGTAAAAATGAGAAAAGAGACAAAGGGAAAGGTGCGGTCGTCACGATCTTTGCTCTATCGTCCCTGACAAAGCCATTGTTCAACAAAGAAGGACTCGGAGCACACAACAGATAGCTTCAAGGTAATCTAGTTGTAAAAGCGAACTCGGCCCAACCTTAATAGACACTTGCACCTTACCTAAACATCCCAGGCTATTGTTCCATGTTAGGGGGGGAGCCTCATAAAAAGACAGGCCCGAGATAGAGTTCGTTGGACCTTGGGGGGAAGAAAGCTTAACTGGTCTAAGGTCCTACTCAGCTTAGCCTAAATTTATCTAAACTTATCTAAGTCTTTTCCTCTCCTAGACCATAGTTCTCTTGCTTCCCCTTGCTCGGTCTTTGGACCATGTTGATGAATAAACCTGTTACTTTTCATTTAAATCAAGGACAATCTTGACATAAACTTCACGCTCTTGAATGATCATTGTAGGGAACTTCGGCATACTTTACACACCTTTTCTTTTCTACTTTCAGTCTATACTAGTACAATATCTTACAACTCGGGATACTGGTCACTACTTCCAGGAGGAAATACTACTGTCGGTTCACTCTACGATCTGCCACCTTTCAATCTATCATCACGGCCTGTTAGAGGATGAAATCCCAAGCAGCCAGGGGCATCTGAGCCCACCTACGTCCCGCTGGTACCACTCCTTGTGGCTGAACGCCATTGGGATCTTGCCCAGCTTCGAGAGCTCTCTTCTTAAGGACCCCCCTCCTCGCACGCGCCAGTTCCGTGTGAGGAGCCCAGGCTCTTCTGAAGTACGGGTTAATCATCTCTGCGTCTCCAGGGTCGGTGAAGTGAAGATCCACCGTTTGGCTGCAAATATTCTGATCAGAGATATAAGCAACTGTCAGGCAGAGTTGATACCAGCACCACACTCCATCGCGGTCAAAGTCAAGATAGCCCCGACTTACCTTTCTGGCATCAATCCTCCGCAGTGCGGTGACGATGTCCTGAAGCATGTATAGCTCAAAAGCATTGGCGCCCTGGTGTTGAGTCAGTAAGCAGATCTTTTCTTGGAGATCATCGCCCATACTACGGGTATTGTCACCCTTGAAGATCCAGGGAGCGAACATATCATCAAACAGGATGCGGAGAAATTCTGAGATGCATCCCAATCCACGCGGGGATGAAAGCCATGTGCGACTATAATCGAAAACGAGGCCCTCATCGTTGACCTGTCTCAAGTAGAGTTCAACAATGGAGGGTGGGCAGTTGGTCTGCAGCAGAGTCTGCAGGATGGTTGGGCGATTCCCCTTGGCTAGAGGGTCATAAGCTGGCCACGTTCCTCTCACCCAATGTCTCCTGTCCGGATGAGGGATTCTCAAGCCCTTGCTGTAAAGGAAATGGATCACGTCGCAGATCCCTTGATGGCGCGCTTTGTCAGTAGCAATTGGAAGCATAGATAGCAGAACAGACGAGAAGCAAGGGCAAGGCATGATGATCAGGGAGCTTAGCTTCACAAAAGTGAAGAGTTCACACCCCTGGTCCGACAGCCATTGCCAAACCTCAATGAATCTCTCTGCAGAAAAGTTACCTTCGTAGAACCCTAGTGTAACAATGTCGCCGGGTCCGTGGTAGAATGCTTGTGTAACAGTGTCGTCGGGTCCTCGAGTGTCGCCGGGCCCGCGAAGTCCGTCGCCCCAGGCATTGGAATATCCAGACTCCTTGTAGTTATCATTCTCCGTCTGACTTGGGTGAAGGCCTTGTCCCGGCTGAATGATACCCAAAGGACCCTCGAACAGGCACTTCTGACGGCACTCGGTCGGTACGGCGTCATACAGAGCACAAATAGCTAGCGTATCGAGATCACCGCGGAAGCAAGCCATTCGAAAGATGCAATAGTCTCCTCCCTGGAACATGGGCCCCCGAGCAAGCTGGAATAGGCGAGATGATGTACGTCGGAGGTTCCAGTGGTCCTCCCATTTCAGATAGTCCCTGCCGACAATGTCAAGTAGAACCTCAGTTGGAAGTTTGGACAGAGAGTCCTGCTGTTGGTCATCAGTGGTGTTAGACGAGGAAGACATGGTGATAGAGTGAAATATTGAAGAGTTCGGGTTATGCAGAGGGTGGTGTTTACTACTGTAGTGAGGAAATACCATCGCTTCAGGTTCACATAGACGGAATATATACTCGCATCTTGGACTACGTAGACTCATTCATGTTCAATATACTTACAGAGACATCATCGACCATAGTAATGACTGTGTTCTATTGTTTAAGCAAAACATACCCGAGAGTCGATGAACTCAGACCATTCTCTACAGTGAGGATATTTCCAGATTATGCACCAGACATTTGTATACCAAAAGGGTAGTCAAACAGGGCAATTTAGCCAAAGACAAGCTTATGTTCAGTCAAATGGCTAAAACATCAAAGCTTAGATAAAGAAAATCATCAACATGAAACAGACTCACGAGTCAAGGGAACCAACAGAGCTAAGAACGAAGCTACTCACGCTTGAACCACGCTTGAACAGCCCCATCACCACATGGGCCTAGTGCCGCCCCATCCCTTTAACCACCTGATTGTCAAACAAAACCTCACCAGAAGAGAAGCTCGAGCTGAAAACACAGGACTTTGCTCATGTTCTGTTTATCTGCTAGCAACTAGTGATTCGGAGTGCCTGGACAAAACGGAATAGTCTATCACGATATGTCACCCTAAAATCAAGCTATCGAGAGATAGTTGGTAGCTGTTTAGACTACTTGTTTAGAGTACCTGTCACAAAGAGGCTAAATCTAAGGTTCTAGAATACTTCCGGATAGTGACAACACGGATATGCATGGACTTTAACGTTGCAGCTGCTAATCAATCAATCATATTAGAACCCTTGGCAAAAGTGATAGTAAATGAAGGACCTTCCATCTTGGGCTCTCCTTTAGCCGGCCGAACCACCGCATCGGATCCGGAGCTCGCTCATCTACCGAAGCGCTCCACTTGGATACGCGGGATCAGAATCATCCCATCTTTTGCTTATATCCATGATCCATTTTATCTTCAAGGACTATACAATCTAAGTAAAAGTCCACCAAGAACAACACTTTGACCTTGGAAGGAAATAGTAGTAACATTTGATAGGGGGGGGGGCGTGTGGGCTTCTACAGATAAACCCACCGCGCCGAAACATCAACGGAATTCCCACGAATCACATCCCGGACCGCTTCCGAATAGGGCAACATGGGCCGGGAGGGTCCGTGGCTCGATGAAGCATTGCACCCCGAAATAAGGCTGTAATCTATCGTCAACTTCGCCGAATTCCCGTATGCCAAGGGGGGGCTTTTCCGATGCTAGGATGATGCTCACTCCATAAGGTGGAGGATCAGACTAGCTTGGCTTACACGATGGGACTGAGATAGCTTAGTATATGAACTTCACGATATCTCACTCTCCTTGACTCTCCTCTCAGTATTCTCTCCTTCATTCTTTCTTGTACAACCAGTAGCTGGGTCTCTGGTTTCTTCACTTACACACAACATACTGCCACTGTCACTCCCTATATCAACCACCATGCCTTCTCTCTTCAAGACCCTCTTCGCGGTCGCCGCCGCTCTCCCCTCCGTCCTCGGTGCTCTTCCCACCCGCGCCGAGGGCTTCGCTTCCTCCACCACAGGAGGAGGCAGCGCTGGAGCTGTCTACCCCAAGACCGCCGCTGAGCTCGTCTCCTACCTCGGCGACTCCTCCGCCCGCGTCATCTACCTCGACCGCACCATCAACTTCATCGGCACAGAGGGTACCGCCAGCGAGACTGGTTGTGCCCCCTGGGGAACTGGATCCAAGTGCCAGACTGCCATCAACCAGAACAACTGGTGCGGCAACTACCAGCCCAACGCCCCCAAGGTCAACGTCAAGTACGACAAGGCCGGTATTCTGGGTATCAAGGTTGGTTCCAACAAGTCCCTGATCGGCGTTGGCTCCAAGGGCGTCATCCGTGGTAAGGGTCTCCGAATCGTTGGTTCCAAGAACGTCATCATCCAGAACATTCACATCACTGAGCTTAACCCTCAATACGTCTGGGGTGGTGATGCTATTACCCTCGACAGCACTGACAACGTCTGGATCGACCATGTTACCACTTCTCTCATCGGTCGTCAGCACATTGTCCTCGGAAACAACGCCTGCAACCGTGTCACCATCTCCAACAGCAAGATCGACGGTACCACCAACTGGTCTGCCAGCTGCAACAACTACCACTACTGGGGTCTCTACTTTGCCGGCTCCAACGATCTCGTCACCTTCAAGAACAACTACGTCTACCGCGTTTCCGGCCGTGGCCCCAAGGTCTCCGGCAACACTCTCCTCCACGCCGTCAACAACTACTTCCACGATGTCCCTGACCACGCTTTCGAGATCGACTCTGGCTCCGTCCTCGCTGAGGGTAACATCTTCCAGAACGTCAAGTACCCCGTCAACTCCAAGGGTTACCAGGGCCAGCTCTTCGGTGTTCCCACCTCTGGCTCTCCTTGTGCTGCTTCTCTCGGCCGCAACTGTCAGCTCAACGGCTTCGGCAGCTCTGGTACTCTCGGCGGCACCAACACTGGCTTCCTCAGCAACTTCAAGGGCAAGACCATTGCTAGTGCTTCTGACTACAACAGCGCCAAGAACGTCATGACCTCCGCTGGCTTCGGCATGGCCTAAACTAAACTAAACTAAACTAAACACCTTGTTTGAGATGAGGCGTTGATATAATATCACATCTGGCAGCATGTCACTTCTTTGTACATAGTATCTTTACATATCTTATCTGGCCATACATATTAGGCCTTTGTCAATATCAGTAACATATCTTGACTCAATCACGCTGTCACCAGAGCTGAAAGTCGTTGTGATAGAATGACAATGGTGAGGAAAGACTACATCCAGATGTTAACACCTTACAATCACGAGTCCATGATAAAATCCATCGTATTCCCCAATGCTCATAACTCAATGACGCGCCAAAAACAATTAACCTTCTTGAAAGTGTAAACACCAAACAATGCAGACCCTCAAATCAAGGGCTCATCGAATGTACTATGTGTATGATGTAGTGTATGTTCGTCCAGTATTAACAGTCCATGTAAATGCACATTCTCCCCATACAACTACTCAACCCCTTTCTCACCAACCAGCAACTCATGCTGGGAATGCCATACCCCTCGTCGATCTACCAATTGTCTTGTAGCTCTGGTATTTCCCATCAGCTCCCATGACGTCAAATCGCTCCATGCCCATAGCATCATCTGTATATCCACTGAAGTAATAGCCAATGATGACAACCAAGTAGGTCAACATAAGAATGCTGCCCTTGAAGTAGTTACTCTTTCCTTCACCGTACATGTAGCTCAGCAAGAATACGCACAGAATGACAGTAACAAGATCCCACTGGGGGAAGAGAAGTGAGAAAGTATACAGCGCTGGGTCACCACCCTCGGGGACACCTGGCCAGAAAGCCGAGTAGAAGACGAGCGCAGGGATTTGGAGCAGACACACTTGCAGAGCGTAAGCCGAACCAATCTCCATCGAGAGTGCAATGTTTCCGTTCATAGCGAAGGAGATGGCGTTCTAGGGTTGATTAGCAATTGTCCGTCAAATAAGGTGAACAAAACTACTTACCAAAAACTCAGTAGTGTTGGGAACGAGGGCGAACAAGGTGATACCAAGGAACTTTTGATCAATCGAGAAGCTTTCTAAAACAACATCCACAGTGTCAACCAGAATTTCAGCGATAATTGCGTACAGAACAGTTGCTCCAAGAAGAATGATGGAACTCTTGGCACGACTCCAGTTGGGCGCGTCGTGACCCCCATGTGCTTGGTGAGCTTCAGTAGCAGCGCCCTCGGTCTCAGCATGCGTGTGGGTGTGTTGACGGCTCGCAGAAGGACGAGCGCCGGGAGCATGAGTGGGGGGCACAGTTGATGGCTTTCGTGACATGCGTTCGCGGGATGCAATTGTCGCAGCCGCGGCAGCAATCTCAGTCACCTCGCGTTGGAGGATCTTGTTGTCGGCATCGCTCAGACCAGGGACATGAAGAGCAGAGCGAGATTGCTCACCGCCGCTGGATTTAGGAGGCACAACATGGAGTGTCGAAGCTGAGCCATTGGCAGGGGCGGTCTGTCCGGTTATAGAGCTCTGACGAGAAAGGTCTTCTGTGTAGCCAGACTGCTTAAGAGACTGGCCCAGAATACGCTTGTAAAGTTGAGTATCGCGAACATCAGCACTACTGGTCTCGGCGGTGTTTTGAGAGTGAGTATGAGGATGGATGTGAACTTGAGAAGTGCGAAGGCTGGATGAATGCATATGCTCTTCATGTCGCTTCTCCTCGACCTCTGCGTTCCAGATGACGGCAGCGTGAGTTCGGAGAGTGAACCATAGACCAATCAAGTATGAGAAGAACAGCATGGCCGCTGCCATGTAACAGTAAGGTCGAACAGCCTCCAAGTAGAACCTGTCACTGAGTGAAGGAGCTTGGCTGAAGTAGCAGCGACGACAGTCTCTATTTTCGCCGGTATTGTAGTCCTCGCAGTCCATACAGTTGAGCTCATGGGTGCCGTAAATCTGATAAAACAGAGTAGGGCCAAAGGCACCAACAATGGCAAACAGCAACATGGTTGATGTCACACCGGCAGACCTGGCATTGAAGCGCTGCGTCTTTCGCTTAATAGCACCGAAGCACATGGAAATGCCCGGCAAGAACAGGATACCTGCGAAAATGCTTCCCACGATACTTCCCTCGACGAGCTGTCCCTTGCCTTGGGTAAGAGCAACACAGTAGAGGAAGACTTCAACAACAGTTGCGAAGAAAGCGTTGATGGCGGCACCCACGCCCATCGAAGACTGGGCCGAGATAGATGCAACAGCCTGTCCAATGAAATAAGCCAGAGGGATGATAGACAAGAGTCCAGCACAGAAGAGGAAGGCGGGAGAAGTAATGAATCCTTCAAAATGGAATATGCCCTCAAGGACAATCCAATCGGCGATAACAAAGACGACGACAACCATGAGGTTGATGAGGAAGATATTGGTACCATCAACAGTGTACTTCCAGTATCGAGTTCCTACAGCGCGGTATGTGCAGAGGAGGACCGAAGAGCTCGGGCCATCGTCTTCACGGATATATCTAATATCAGTCTCAAAAGACAGAGCCAGGGGATGTCGTCGAAGGTGGTCAAACAGCAAGAATGTTGCCTTGCCCATGGGAATCCAGAAAACCAAGAACCAACAGATGCCGGATACAAGGAGGAGCGAAGGCGAGATGAGACAGTAGAAGAAGATGAAAAAGATGACACGGCCAATATTCCACTGGCCACGTCCAAAAAGTCGTCTCTTGACTCGGGGAGGAAGCTCTGAGGATTCGCCACGTCGGCCACGTCCAAGCAAGCTCTCTGTCTCGCTGGGCTCAGAATCAATACTTCTTCTCGAACGTCCAACAATTGAGCGATTGCGATCAGGTCCAAAGAACAATCGGCCGTACTCTAGGTCTCCGCTTTGCCATTGCTCGTATTCAGAAATGCTGCGTCCTTCATCTTGGTCCTCGTCCATATAGGTCTCGTCCTTTTCCAGACGGACAAACTTGCCAAAGGGGTAAAACAGATATCCTGCGAGACCCCATAGAACTCTTCCGTACTCTCTCCCACTAGGAGCCGCAGAAAAGAGCAGGCATACGATGGCCCCAATAGCTGCAAACGAAGCCAACCACCAACCAAAAAGAAGGGTCCAGAGCAGATTGAAAGCTAGAAGCCAGCTGCTCACTCTTCCACCAGGCGCTGAATGAATGTCTGCTTGTGCAAATTTCTGAATTGAACGATCCTTCTTGTACAATGCTGGCTTCCATACACGAATACCGAAGGGGTGAGTCTGGTTGATGGCCTGCTGTCTGTCCTTGAGGGTGAAGCTCTCAGCTTCACTGACGTCGCTATCTGAGTCGTCCTGGCCCTCGACTGGGGTAGTCTCTTCTTCATCTCCTTGTGCTTCAGCAGGGCTCTCGGTCGATTCGCCATTATCATCGTTGGTGTCTTCGGTTTCATCGTCTTCGTTCGTACGCGATTGAACTCGAGAGAGTTGGGTCGAGAGCTGAGGTCGTCGACGATATGATTGTTGACGTTCGGCGGCATCGGCCTCTACCTCGTGTACATCGTCATCGGCTGAGAAAACACCGCCACGATAAGGCGTGTTCGAAGATGGACGTCGAGGCATTGGTGGCTTTCGTAGTCGAGTGGCAGATCGCATTCTCTCGGGGCCTCTCGCAGGACGTGAAGATTGGGTAGCGCGAGACGAGCTGCGCTCTTGGGATGTCTCTTTTGATTGCTGAGCTGAACCTGAAGCAGCTGGACCGCTTATCGAGCCTAGGAATATTTAAAATTAACCCCGGTCTCTCGCCAAGAAAAGGCATAGAGCATGGAACCTACCATAACCCTCTGGTCTCCGCCGCACAGTGTCAGTGGACTGGAAGCTTTCTGACAAGCCCTCTGCTTCGCGAAGAACGGCAGATTCGGCCTGGGCAAGCGGATGACGCGTATCCGATGGAGATGCATTGCCAGAAGAGTCGCCAAGTTGATGCCCAGTCGACGAGCTCTCCCGTCTCGAGGGATCCATAGTGGAACAGTGGTACTGCAATCAATAGTCGAGTAATAGGCGACTTTTATCACAAGAAACTATTGTTTGATGCAAAAAGGTGAACAAACAAAAGAAGGCAATAAATAAGACACAAGCTCACAAATGCGACCAAACGTAAGCTGTACCTATCTCTATACTTGAGAAAAAAGAGGGAATGCCGAGCATGCCAATGTCACGATGCAGCGCCGAGAAAGTCGTACAGACGATGCGACGCGATGATCAAAACGGCCCAAGCAACCAAGAATCGTGATGAGACGAAGGATTGGGCAGCGGGACAGGCTCCTAGGACTGGACTGTGCTCAGTTGGGAGTGAAAATTGAGATGAGCGAGCACAACTGAGACGAGCTGGAATTTGTTTCTTCTGGACAAGGTTGAAAGAGAGAGGGAGAGGGAGAGTTGATGAGGGAAAAGAGATGGACGGAGTCTCCGAGCAAGCAAGCAAGTAAGTCTCTTGGAAAATGATGTTACTCGAGCTGCAGTGAGCTTTCCAAGAAAGCGCAACAGACTGCGCAAAGAAGGAATCAAGGCAGAGAGTGCACAATTGACTCTTGTTATTTTACGGGGGAAGAAGGAATGAGTTTTCAAGTCCGTTAGCTGAACACAAAGAAAGTTTACTGTGGTCTACGGATATACATTACAGTGCTGTAGCCGTATCCCAACTCAAAATCGATGGAGCACTCTCTCTCTCACACAAATCGACTCTGGATATGTACATAAGACGATAAACAAGCTAGACCACCGACATCGACAGCATCAGCCCCTAGTCTAGCTCCTTTGCCTGGTCCACCTTAGCCAAGCTCGCAGCTCGTGATCAACCAACCTTCCCCATGACAGCTTAGTGTGTCTTATCGCACCTTGCGCGTGTTCAACCTCGTCCAATGATTCGACGTCATTATGCATCCCCAGGGTCTTGGTTGGTAGCAGACAGGCGGCTCTTTGCACGACAGTTGACCTTGATCAACAGAGGGGCACCGAAGGTAATCGATTAGGTGTCCGAATTTCTAAGTAATCTGAAGATGATCATGGGCCAAGAGAACAGACTCATCCGCCTTAGCCGGGTGCTGATCCATCTTCTTCCCTAAACCATATCTTGATACCTTAACAGCCGATATCATGTCAGCTTCGATGAGCCTTGCATCAACTCCTAAGCGGTCTAGTGTGTCTCAGTGGGGGTAACGCGGCAGAGAGCGCTGTGGGTGGTGGAGTTCCACTATGAGTGGCAGCCATGATTCTGTACACTTGACGACGCTGTAGACCATGAGAGCTTGACACAATGAAACGGCCCTTGAAAGACTCGACATTTCACACAGAGACTCGGCATGCAAAAGAATCCATGCTCGGCTACCACAGGCCATAATTTTAATCCCGCAAACCATTGAAGAACACGCAACATGTAATTCTCGGCTGGTTCCATCACAATGGTTCTAACCAATTCTTCAGTAGAGCTTACCCTACACCTATAGTCGCCCGGACGACGGCACAACATAACGCCGACCTTCGGGCAGCTCCCACCTGCTTGGCCCGTGCGCTCATTCGTTCTGGAGGATTACGAGACAAGCTGTAGCCTTGTCATCGAGCTTCAACCTCATCGCAAACCATCGCCAACACACCCAATCCCCGACACGCATCACTATCTCCGCCTCCACCCCGAACCCGTGAATCTGGCAATTCGTGCCAAATCTTACATATTTTCACCCCCGAACAATTATCATCAGCTCGTTTCCCTGACGTCAAGGGAGCTTCGCCAAAGATGGCGCTCGACGAGTACTACCACAACAAGATCGAGGCTATGAAGCTTGAGATCCTTAAGGGACAAGCCGCGCTTCGCCGCCTCGAAGCTCAGAGAAATGACTACAACTCACGCGTGCGATTGTTGAGGGAAGAGCTGGGTCTGTTGCAACAGCCTGGTTCCTATGTCGGAGAAGTCGTCAAGGTCATGAGCACCAAGAAGATTTTGGTTAAAGTTCACCCTGAGGGCAAATATGGTATGCCTACTCAGGCCATCTAGCTTCGATTACTGAATACTAACGTTTTTTTCAGTGGTCGATGTGTCGGATAGTGTTGATATCGGCAAGCTCACGCCAGGAAAGCGAGTCACACTCCTATCTGATAGCTACAAACTCGAGAAGATGCTCCCCTCCTCCGTCGATCCTCTCGTCTCCCTCATGATGGTAGAGAAGGTCCCCGATAGCACATACGACATGATTGGTGGTTTGGACCAGCAGATCAAGGAGATCAAGGAAGTTATCGAACTTGGTCTCAAGCACCCCGAGCTTTTCGAGTCTCTTGGAATTGCACAACCCAAGGGTGTCTTGCTATACGGCCCCCCTGGTACTGGAAAGACACTACTTGCACGAGCTGTTGCTCACCACACTGCCTGTAAATTTATCCGAGTGTCAGGTTCCGAACTGGTCCAGAAGTACATTGGTGAGGGTAGTCGAATGGTGCGAGAGCTCTTCGTCATGGCTCGAGAGCACGCCCCATCCATCATCTTCATGGACGAAATCGACAGTATTGGTTCCTCACGAGTGGAGGGTTCTTCAGGAGGAGACTCTGAAGTCCAGCGAACTATGCTCGAGTTGCTGAACCAGCTCGATGGTTTCGAACCTACTAAGAACATCAAGGTCATCATGGCCACCAATCGTCTTGACATTCTCGACCCTGCCCTCCTGCGCCCAGGACGTATCGACCGAAAGATCGAGTTCCCCCCGCCCAGCGTCGAGGCCCGAGCGGATATTCTCCGCATTCACAGCCGCAAGATGAACCTCACCCGTGGTATCAACCTCACCAAGATCGCGGAAAAGATGAACGGGTGCTCTGGTGCTGAGCTGAAGGGTGTGTGTACGGAAGCAGGCATGTACGCTCTCCGAGAGCGAAGAGTGCACGTGACACAAGAAGATTTCGAGCTTGCCACGGCAAAGATTCTCAACAAGCACGACGACAAGGAGGTGTCTCTTGGCAAACTCTGGAAGTGAGAAAACTGCAACAAGGGGCGTTCTTTTATTTATCCGTATTCTTGTCTCTGCTGCTGGTTAACCTGCTGGGTTCGCAACAGAGCCTGGTCGTTTATAGATGGGTTGGGTCATGACAGCGGGAGCGGAGTTGTAAGGATAGAAGATTGTACCATAATGGAAACAACAATCTCAAGCGACACAAGTATTATCTTTGTAATGCGTGAAGCTTGTGCATATATTATAACACAGCACATGTGAATGATGGGCACATAATAATCTGGTTGATTTCTATGTGATTTTGACCCGGCAAGGTTCGTATGTGACCTTTAAGAGGCCAATGTTTGGAACAGATATAGCATTGATGATGTCTGTCTGATCTTGATCTTCCTGACCCCTGTCTTGGAACTTGACTCCTGTGCGTCCTAACTTGAGAGCTGTCGAATGCAGTTCTCGTCCTTGTTTGCTTCCAAATACAAAGTCATCCATGTCAGCTTCCAGATCCTCCTCGACAAGAGCACAGGAACTTGGAAGTATTGCATCTCACGCTTAGAATGAGGGCTTAGAATGAAGGCTTATGATGAGTTTGGGGTTCCGTATGCCAAGTTTATGATGATACAACCTAAGCTTGGGATATAGACCCTAAGCCTTGAATAACTTATAAATTTGGCCGTGTTATCTTATGTGTCTTTGATAACAGCCGCAGCCACCCTGTGCAGCATGTTTGGATTTCCTTCACCCTCCCCCTGATCTCAAACTGCATGCTGGTCAGACCAGCCTTGATTCAACCGGCAACACCTTGAGCCATCTGCTTCGTCACCGGTATGGTGAAGTTGCAGCGATGCTGAGTAGAGGAGGGATTCAATCTAAGTCTGTAAATGATGGGATACCAGCGTGGCTTACCAGGTAGACATAGTTGAAGATGCATGAGAGGGAGGGGTAGGAAAGAAATGGGAACAATAATTGAAGAATGATGCTTAAAGACAATACCTTAGCTATAGATAACAAGGTTCAAAGAGAATGTTCATCGAGAAGTTCTTTGCCAGTGCCTACCTACGCATGGCTATGATTCACTGTGCAGTTTCAATGCAGACCAGTGTGGACATATCCGCATTTTACTCCTTGAATCACTGGCTTTCTCTATCTGTCTCCCGCACGAGTTAAAGTACAACAACACACTGAAAGTATTTTCCATCCTCCATTATCACTCCACCATCCTTTCATCCTTTGACCTACTGTCAAATATCCAGTTTCACTGCGACATTGTTTGTGATTCTTTGACGATGTCCAGCCCATCCAAAGAAGAGGCCGGGCTGAACACGCCTCCTAAGAGCAACGGCCTTGAGAACACTGTACCCAACATTGAAGCACCCTTCGAGACCGATCAGAATGTAGAAGCCCCGAAGCTACCGAATCAGGAGAAGGAAGTTCCCAAACCCTGGACTGGCTCTGATATCGAAGATCCCGACAAAGAGTTGGAATTACTCATCATAGAGACAGTCCGCACTGTTCGGGCACTCTGGAGCGAGGGTGAACAAGAACATTTCATCAAGCTTGACAGGGCTCGAGCACGAGAACGACAAGAGATGGAGAAGCACACCAGACATCACAAGAAAACAAAGACGCAGGAGCCGACCGTTGGAACACAGGAAGACGTCGAAGAGGGGAAGCAGACAGATGATGCAGTATCCCCCGGAACTGACGATATCCTCGATCTCGCATCTGCAGTCGCCGAGACTCGAATTGTTCGGTAAGGCCCTTAAGATGTCAATAAAATAGTGAATAGAAGCACTAACAACTCATTAGGTAACTCTGATCTCCCGGACAGAAACATCTCGGTACCAGCTGCTAAGCCGATGCAGAGAGATGACCAACGGCGACATCATGGCTTCATTCGACCGTGAGGGAGAAGATAATTTCGACAGCGGGACGGATGGCAGATGTGGCAGGCCCTGGAGTGTGCGATAAGATGCATGGCGCATGTTCCCTAAATGGTGTATGAACAAGTCGGCACCACTGTTCGGCCACTCAACAGTTAAGATCTGGCATGTAAATAGAGCTTACGTTCAGTACGAATGCACATCAAGTTGAGCGTGTAACTCTCAATTAACAAGATTGGTGAAACTTTGAAGGCAAGTCATTGAGAGAATAGTTGTATATGTGTACCGTCGATATTCGTGATCCCGATAAGGGATGCCGAACATTATCAATGTTCAAGAAGTCTGTATCTCAGGTTTAAAGAGCAGAAGAGTAAAGCAGAGCAGTTGGCAATGATGATTTCGTCCACCTTATATGGCAGTAACAAGGCTATTCTCCTATCGGCAATAAAAGAGCTGTCAGATAGAGCTTGCGAGCGCGTCTAGACACACAGACGAAGCTGGCGTCTAGCTTGGCCATTGTTCGTATCTTCAGTGACACAGCCTCTGATCCCAGGTAACTAGAAGCCAAGTATGTAACCCCTTTGGTTCGCCCAACATCATCGAGTCAACGGTGAGAAACGACAGGAATTATCGCGAGAGGCAAGGCAAAGTTGCCTGCAGGTGCTGATACTGAGCTCTTTCAACTGTCACCCCATCACTGAACCTAGATGCAAGAATAAAAGAGGAATGTGCACATCTGTTCTTATGATGAGTTTATGCAACCCAAGCCTAAGCTTTAGGCTATTAAGTCATAGATTATAAATTTAGTAGACTTATGATGATATGGTCTAAGAATACCACAATGTTGCACCAGGTGGTGGATAAGAGTCAACCCTTCTTCGCCCTTGCATCGATAAAACGGTGAATTATGAAACCGCATACGGTGAATACGGTAAACACCACATAAAATCATGCGAATTGTCTCGAATAGCATCAGCTGGCCGATTGACTTTTTCTTTTTTAGCAGTCTCATGCCCCAGCATCGGAGCGATTGCTCCGCTGACATCTGAGACATGGATCGCGTGTAAGACCTAGTCTAGCCAAAGGTATAATTTTCAGGGAAAAGTGAGGTTGGAAGTCAGCAGATGATGAGACCTTGGCTGGAGAGTCATGCTGGAGGAAGGTAGTTGCCATGGTGCGAGGGGCAGCTTTAGAGATATGTTTCAGATTTGCACTTTGGAGGTGTTGGTGGAAGAGTTCGAGTTTGTGGCTTGAGCTTAATGCTCTGTGGTTGGTTTGACGACTCATGAGGGAAACAGTCCCTGTCAGCAAGCTTTCAGCTCAGTCTTGGTATCAGATGTGACCTGTCGGACACGAGGATATGAAGTATCTTGTACTGTCGCTCAGGAACTCGGGCTTACAATGCCAAGAACAAGAACATGAATCTTCAGCTTGGACTGGTGAGATTGTTCAGATGACAAAGATTATAAATTGCAAAACATCATGCTATGTGAAGGCTTCGTATAGGACATTGAGTTTAGTTAGGCGTCTTACGGCTAATTTATTACCCTGAAGTTCAAGCTTTGGGTATCTGATCTTGATCCTCAGTGAAGTTATGTAGATATACTCATCGTTAAGCATATGATTACACGAATTCTTTTGAGGACTAACTACAATTCCCTCCTTTTGCTGTACTATCAAGTCCCCCTACATGTCAGTGACCAGCCATGGCGCTTTTAATCGTTCAAAACGTCCAAAGAAACGATCAAGACGTGTCGTTCCGTCCCACTTGAGCTCTATCAAACGGCGCTCGGCCCCCCCGACAACTGCCAGAGTTTCAAGAGCTCGAGTCGCGTGTCACGCTAAACAGGTTAATGCTCGAGTCTAGAACAACAATCGAAGCTTGGTATTTCCAGCAAAAAACAGGTATTTCCAGCGCACGTGTAGAAGTGCCTGGGTCAGCTGATAGCTCTACCGGTGAGGCCCGATACTATTATTTAGTGATCAAGATGAGAATGACTGTTTGGGCATTTGATATGAGTTGATTCTCTGGCGGTGACAAGGATCGAGGATTGAGGCTTTGGGCCAAATCGTGATCTTAATATGTAGGTGTTTTTTTGGTGATGTGCTTGTGACGGATTTGTCGAGTAGGTGGTTACGAGTCAGTTGGTCTCGGTGATGTAGTGACTCTGACGGGCCGAATTAGCTCTGGACCAGACAGGAACAAAATGTGCGATATAGACAAGCTTCTTCGAAAACATACAAGCTCAAGTGTATAATCGAAGCATAGTATCGGGATAATTCCTATATTGGATAGCTTTGGAATAGCTTTGGCACGAATGACGCTGGACAAACGGCCCTCGGACTGAGCACTCAAAACGGTACAAATCATTCACAACAATCCACCATGACGTCTCTCATAGAGAGAAAAAGTATCGGCCGTAGAAAATATCATTGGGAGTGATGCTGTCCTCCCTGAATTTGAAGAACCAAGACTAAGGCCAGGGCACCACCCATCTCGAGGTTATACAACCAGTCGGAATGGAGAACCCTCGACTCCCACATCCCACCCGAGTGGCTACCACAGAGGCCATGCCATGTAATCAATTAAAACTGCATTGAATTCTTCCTGCCTTATTTAGAAACCGAACTGCCTCGTGTCAACACCGTCTTGCATGATCGACACGCCTGGACGCATCGACGGCAGGGATACTATGTCTTGAGAGAACCACAACTGATTATCGACAATGACAATTCCCATAAGAGCGAGGCTCATCAAAGTCGACGATGTCATACTCAGTGTCTAGAACACATTGGCTTATGCGTTGTTGCTCAGCTGAAGCACAGCCAGAGCATCGAGAACGGTCCATCATACGTCACTGAGGTAGCATAGGCCTCTATCGCACAAGGCGTACAAGGCGTTCGGGACTCAAGTCAGACTTCAGTGGGGTCTTTGGATATCCATTTCCCATGGGAACGATTCTGCAGGTTTGTTGAACATGGCAAACTGTCAAAGTGGGATGAATCTGGTCCTGTCAGGCAACTCCTGGCTAAAACACCAGTTTGTTGTCAGTCTCGTCTCGTGCCCCTCCCGCCCAAGATGCTAAAGGTCAGAAATTCAAGGGTCCGCCTTGCTTCGATGAGGCTAGTACTGTAAGGCGGCGTCTCGCTGGCACACAGCCTTGGCTGAAGTTGGAAATCAACGCCATGTTTTTGCGAACAACTAGCGGTAAGCGATTAAAGTTTTCGATTCCTACTCTAACAGTTCCACTCCAAGAGCATTTTGTCCGCAGAGACTTGAGTGAGATTGTTCTCGCCTTGGTCCTTTCAAGATTGAGGCCATGCTTGCTGGGTCTTTGTTTAGAAATAATCGCAAGCGCCGCTGATGAGTTGCTCTACTCGCGTGCAACCCTAGTTGAAGAGTTGATTTGATAATCTATCCGTTATGGAGGGGATGATCTCAGGGTCCAGGCCCTTCGATGTGGATTGGATTGAGAGCAAAGACGTACGTGACGGAGAGAAAAGATGTCTGATGTCTGAGGCTTCCATCTGCAAGGGTGTGCTCTTAGCGTCCGTTGGATGCCCTAATCAGGAACCGTAAGGAAACGGCAGCTAGCTACGAACTGTGTTCCTCACAGGGCTTGGTTGATAATCGAGGCTTGTTAAGCTTCGGCCGGTGGAATATGGAATACCGAAAAGCTGGATAGCTTCGTCCGCGACTCGGACAAGGGCGTCGGAGTGACATGCATCAGGCAATCCTCGCATAAACCCGAGTCCCCTGCTTATAATTGAGCATTACGTTTCTGATATCTGTATCAAGCTTTGCCTGCCTTAACTTAGTCTGAGCAGCGGTCCCTGAAATCATCTCGCAACAAGGGAGAGAGCATGAGCCTGACAGCCTTGAAACAAAATCATAGACACGACACGAGATCAAATCGCTTAGCGGAGGAGCAGCCGTTTTTCGACATTAGCCGAAGCCGGGATTTGATGGCATGGTTCCGATTCAGCTTCTGCCCTTTGGGCGGATGGCTTTTCAGCTGAAACTCCGTTACTGAGCGGGCAATCGAGACGTTACAACAGTAATTAATTGTCAAAACGGTGAGCGTAAGTGGGATGGTTGCTCTACGTCTCATCAACTACGTCATGCCGCAGCATTTAATTTCGTACAGACCTGGTCGAGACTCGGCATCAGACTTTACGACCGTTGACGCGAGATCTGAACACGCAATTCTCCAGGAGCTGAAAAGTACGAAACAAAACAAACCGTGATTCGCAGCAGATTCGTTCTAGACTCTATCGACCTTTTCAGACGGAGGTTGGCAAACGTCGAAATGGGCAGAGAAACGAAAAGGCGGAGATAATAAATGAAGGGGAAAAAAAGAAGCAAAAATCCGATGCGGGCCAGTGACGTTGACGACGGCGCCACGCGGATTTCTGGTTGGTTCAAGCCCAGACAAACAGATGCACACACGCCCCCCCAATGCACCCGTTCCATTATTTCTTTCCAGGTGGGGACCCTTGACGCTGCAATGACGATGTAGTCAGGGGGAAGGACTCGAGAGACGGTGACAGATTCGAGAGACAGTGGGTGAGGGGAGGATGAACATCAGCGGGGGATGAGAGTGTGAAGATGATCTGGATCATCGTGGAACAGGGCAAAGAGATGATGGCATCTGCATGCTCGAATGAACTCTATTATAGTGCTCAGTTGTAAGAATACGAGAGAGACAGATACCGTCGTTGGTTGAAGCTTGCGTAATAAGCTTCAATAATACCTATTCTATCAGGCCAGTCAGGCTAGTACCTGCAGTTGCTACTACATTGTCAACAGAAAGAGTTTGAATCAATTAGTTGATATTATACCTCTCAGAGTTTATATCACCTGAAGCTATACTGAACCTCATTGTCCTGAACTATTGCCCAGGTTGTACGAACAAACTCTCCTCCCTCA